TTCAGTCTAAACATCCATTGAGGACTCCTAGTGCTCCGTTTCGTATGTTTGCTGTGAATAGTTACCTCCTCATCAGTATTGTCCACCAGATCTTTCTGGTAGTGGTAGAAATGGCTGTCCACGTGGTCAGTAGGCAGCCACTAAACCATTTGTGACTGTTGAGTATTAGAAATGTGGCTAGTATAACTGGGAGACTAGTTTTTCCATTTTGGTTACTCACTTGATTAAATTTTAACTAGTCACATGTACTTAGAGGCCACTGTATTAGATGTACAGCTTTGAAAGGGAATACATTGAGTTTTGAGGTAGATGATTTCCAGCTCCTCTTGGATGGCCAAGCTTCAAGCTTTATACTGCAGCCGGATCCTGTTCCACAGGAAGGACATGACAGTTTGAGATTGGATCATAAGAACCATCAGAAGAGGGTTAGCTTGCCAGGTATTCCAGCCTTGATGCTTCTGAATTCCTTTTATTTTTTTCCCTTTCCGTTTTGTTTTGAAACAAAGTTCTAGGCCTCACTGTGTAGCCCAGGCTGGCCTTGAATTCATAGTGCTTCCATATCTAGCCCCTGGCTCTGGGGTCACATGTGTGACCATCATGCCTGGCTTTTCTGATTTTGTTTTTCTAAGTTCTTGAGGTTGTTTCCATGAGAATGATAGCGAATTCCTCCACTCCCCTGGCTGGAAAGGAGTGCTTCCTGGAATCTCTCCTGGTGGGTACATTTACTCTCTCTTCCTCCACCATCTTCCTCTTGTCCCAGGAAGGGCCCAAGAAAGAGCAAACTAGAACAAAATTCACCTCCTCCTTTGACTGTTCTTAGTTCTGGGGATTTGGAGTTACCTTCCTCCCTTACATTGACAGTCTAACAGAAATTGGGGAGTAACTCCCAGAGATGGCTCTGGGACTGTGGTCCTGGTGCCCATTAGCAGGGTGTGGACTTGAACTTAGACCAGGAGCACTTGAGTCTGCCATCTGTTGGTCCATCCTCGTTCGTGTACCTCACCTTCTGAAACCTGCAGCTTCTGTGCCCAGGGGATGTGCCTGGAGAGGATGAGGGTGAGGAGCTTAGGGGAACATAGACAGACTGACTCCCAAACCACCTTCATCTCATTTGGCAGCAGAATCAAGGATCCCAGGTCCTCACTTTGGCTGTGCTCCCGAGAGCTCTGGCTTTGCATGGACCACTCAATTGTGTTTCAGCTTCCTGTTCTGTTCAGCAGGTTAGCTCAGACCCTCGTCCCCTTTGGCTCTTTCCTGCCCCTCACAGGCTTGCCCAGTGGCTGGGAACCAGCAGTGCTGTTGTAAGGTCGGTCATACTTAGGAAGGGTGATGCTCCTGTTGTCCCTGGGTTAAAGAAGGGATGCCAGTCCTGTTTAGGGAAGGGAAGGTGCACTCGGGAGACCCCACATGGGGGGCTCCCACACTGAAGAAGGGCTGCTGCTGTGGGTGTTTCCTGGCGGACCACCTGTGAGCCCCGGGTGTCTTTGCAGCGGGAAGTGTGGCTTTGCGCCTGCTGCTTTATAACAGGGCTCTCCATGCCAAGTGGACTACAGCAGTGTCATCACATAATGTCCCCACTTCACTGTGAGTAACCTTTCTCCCTCCCTGTTGTTTAACTCTGATCCCCTCTCTTTCACAAACACGCATTCTTGGGCCAATGTGAGGCTGTGCACAGACACTGTCTCATTCTCCAGTTAATCTCCCTGTGCTGTCACATAGGCAGCCAACGGTGGCATTTGCCTGACTGTAATTTGAAAGCCACCCTACCCCCTTTTTTTTCATTGTCACTTACAGGAATTGCTGAATGACTCATTATGCCACAGTCAGCCCTCTTGGGCTCTTGGTCACAAAGGGCCTGCCCAGTCAGATTAAAGTGTGCAGCCACTGTAGTGGCCCAGTCAGCAGGTCAGCTTCTGTGGCTCCGTAGAGCGCTCTGAAGTGAGCCAGCATGATGGCCCAGGCAGCGTTTCTGGAGTGGAGTCTGTTCTGTGTACCTGTGCTAGGCTAGTACTTTGCAGGGAGAGGCTTAGTGAGCTTGGGAGAATGAAAGAATATGTGGATGGCATTTGAGAGTAAACAAAAGGGCACTGGGAGTCCCTTGAGAATGTGCGCATGCCTCTCTGGAACTTAGAACTGTTCTGTCCCCACCCGAGAGTCTGATTCCACTGTACCTAGAGGCACTGGAGACTGTGTTTGAACTATGTGTGTGGGTCATTCATTTACCAGTTAGATGGCATTCAGTAAACAATGTCCTGGAGCTCTGAGGAGAGTGAGTGGTGGATTTGGATTTCGTGTAGAACATGAAACAGCCACGTGCCTTCTTTCTCTCACCAGAGAAGGCAGCTCAGGTCAGCTTTTGTGTTCCTGCAGTGTTGTGGAAGGTCTGAGGTCCTACTCAGTGTGCTGGGGACTATGGGTCAGTGACACCCTCCATAGGCCATGTACCACAACATCTGTCGACCCTGGGGCTGGAATCCTCAGCTGACGCATGGCAGGCAGGCCAGGATTCAGGCTGTGCTAACTCGTTGGTGGAGATGGAAAGAGCAGACGGTAATGACGGCTCTGTGCAGTGCTGAGCAGCGGCAGTGGCCTCAGTTGAGTCCTGCCATACCTTTCAGCAATAGTGTGGCACTCAGGCACATTAACTCAGCTCAGTGCCCCAAATTTTTATAAGATGGGAGTGACCCCTATCCCGAAGGTGTGTAACTTGGGGAATCTTCCAACAGTGAGAGCACTTCCTGCTCTTACTGTGATTCTGAGCTTGCCATGATTGGTGGATGCAGAAGAATCATCAGCTCTTGGGAGGAGGAGCGTGTGGTGCCTGAGAAGCCCTGAAAGTCACATCAGAGGAAATGGCATCAGATGCATCCAAATGTCATAAAACATATCTTCCTCTTGTCAAAGGAAAAGGGTCATTTAGTCTGTGAGTCAGTGTGTGCCTTGTGGCAGCTGATCCTTGCCAGTGGAGCTGTGAGAAGCCGTCCAGTGAGCCATCTGTGGACACTGACTATTCCTGCTAGACATTTGGAAGGAGAGTTCAGGTGGACTTGTGCATGGAGAGAGGGTGTTGCCTGGGACCTGCTTTCAGGGGGTTTCTGTCAGTGCTGATGCACTGTAAAGGTGGCCAGCTGTAGTCAGACACCACCGAGCTGACTGAGCCGGTGGTTCCTCAGTCTGCACAGTGTAAATGCTGTGGTGCTGTTGAGGGGAACTCCCGAGGCCAGAGAGCTCACACAGGACTCCTGCTCCCTACCTCAGGGCTTTTCATTTTAGTGCCTTAATTAAGCACCCACTGCATGTTGGTATTATAGATACATAGTCTGTACACAGGTACTTTCTGCTCTGATTAAATATATGTGCAGATATTTAACTAGAAAACAAGTCAGCTATGCTTGCGTGCACTCCTGTGAGGGGAGCACAGGTAGATAGAGCAAAGGCCTGGCTACTTTGCTACCCTTTGCAACTTCCTGTGCAGTTAGGAACCCGACAGAGACTTGTACTCCGCTGTAGTAAGTGCAGGCTTTGAGGAGGGCTCAGTGGTTTCTCGAGCAGCTCAGAAGAACACTGCAGGTGGGGGACAGAAAGTGCTGTGCGGCCAGGGATGCAGGGTTGCAGATGTGAGGTCAACAGAGATAATAGCATACAGCGCTGGAGAATGACAGGGAGGCCAGTGGGGGCGCGGGGGGGGGAGGTGGGGGGGGGGGGGGGGGGGGGGGGGGGGGGGGGGGGGGGGGCTCAGTGTAATAGCATTGCAGAGCGGATCCAAGCCAGCCCTGATGGCCAGAACCCAGGCTAGAAGGCACAGAAGGAGAGAACTGACTCCCAAAAGTGGTCCTCTGATTTCTACATGCATCAGACAGCACACATACACACACACACTCATACCACACACACACACATACCACACACACCACACCACATCACACCACACACCCATACCACACCACACACCCATACCACACACACACACCCATACCACACACACACACACACACACACACACACACACACACACACACACCACACACCCATACCACACACATCACACCACACATATCACACCACACACCAATACCACACCCATAACATACCCACATCACACCATACACAACCATATCTCACACACACAACCATACATGTTATACTGCACCTGCACCAGACATACAGAACCACATACACACACACAACCATACACATCATACTACACCTACACCAGACATACAGAACCACACACACACACACACACACACACACACACACACACACACACACAAAGCCACACACACTAATAAATAAAATAGAATTTTCAAAAAATGAAAATGAAGTCTGAGGCTTGGATGTGGTGTGTCTTGGAATGTCAAGTCTGGGAGTGATAAGTGATGTCGTTCTGTATGCTGTAAATATGTGTTGCTCTGATTGGTTGATAAATAAAGCTGTTTGGCCAATGGTGAAGCAAAATAAGGCTAGGCAGGATATTCTAACTAGAGAGAGAGGGAGAAGAAAGGAGAGCAGAGGAGCCGCTGACAGCCCCCGCCATGACAAGCAAGATGTAAAGATACCAGTAAGCCACGAGCCACGTGGCAAAGTATAGATTTATAGAAATGGGTTAATTTAGGATGTAAGAGCCAGCTAGCAAGAGGCCTGAGCCATTAGGCCATGCAGTTCATAATATAAGCCTCTGTGTGCTCACTTGGGGGATGTGAGTGGTAGAGATTTGTTCCGACCGCCGGCCAGCCAGGACGCAGAAAAACTTCCCACTACATGGGAGCTCTTGCAGGGTTCTGAGCAGGAGTGACAGCATTACTGGGAATGGGAGTAAGATGGAGTAAAGGTGAAATGGAGGGTAAAATTGGAGAGCTGAGATGAACGAGGAGGAGGAGAGGTCCTGGAGCCCTGGACTAAGCACATGGTAGGACAGGCGTTGAGGGATATCTTCAGACACTCTGCCTCGGAAAGGATAAGTTTCCTATCAACCCGTTGGTCTCTTCTGTGTCTTGTAGATTCAGCCAGTGATTGAACAGACCTTCCCCTTTTCTGAAGTCCCAGAAGCCTTCCTGAAGGTGGAAAGAGGCCACGCCCGAGGAAAGACTGTGGTCAACGTCATTTAAATAAAGATGCGTATGTCGTGGGTTGTTGCTTTCCTGTCGCTGGGTGCCTATGATCCAGACATCTAGCCCTCAATAGATACCATGAAACGTAAATCTAACTGGGAAAAATATGTTTATAAACGTAAATATGCCCGGTGAGACAGCTTAGCAGATAAAGGTTCTGGCAGTGTAAGCAATGGCTGCCTGAGTGTAGTCCTGGAACCCACGTGACGGAGGAGGAGAGAACTGACTCACAGAATGGTTCTCCGATTTCTCCCCCCATGCATATACCTCCACAATGATAAAGAAAATAATTAATGTCATGATCTTTTTTAACGTTGGGGGGCGGGGCACATGTGCCAGGGTGCACTTGTGGATATCACAGGGACTTTTCAGTGCTCGGTTCTTTCCTCCTGCTGTGTAGGTTCTGGGTAGAGCGCTAGTCCTTAGGCTTGGCGGCAGGTTCCTTTACCCGCTGAGTCATGTCACTGGCTCAGTTAAAAAAAAATTTTTAAGTATGTATTTTAAAAAATACTTTTCATAGCGGGGCAGTGGTGGTGCCTGCCTTTAATCTCAGCACTTAAGAGGCAGAGGCAGGTGGATCGCTGTGAGTTTGAGGCCAGCCTGGTCTACAGAGTGAGTTCCAAGAGAAACCCCATCTCAAAAAGACTTTTAAAATTAATTAACATACAGAATAGTTTCTTCATGGAATTTCTGTATCAGCTCCTGCACTTGCCTGCAGTCAGAAGTACATAGTGTTTTGTTTTTAATATTTTTATTTTGACATGTGTATGGGTGTTTTGCCTACGTGTATGTGCACCACATGGCATACCTTGTACCTGTGGATGTCAGAAGTGGGTGTCTGATCCCCTGGAACTGGAATTGACAGGTGATTGTGAGCAGCCATGTGGGTGCTGGGAATCGAACCCAGGTCCTCAGGAAGAACAGCCAGTGCTCTTAACCACTGAGCCATCTCTCCAGCCTCTGTGTGGTGTTTTTGTTTTCTTAAGCTGCTCTTCACCCAGCTTTGCAGATTCCTGTGGCCTTCTTACAGCTCAAACCCCATCATCTTACCTTAATGTGAGATTCTAAAATGTGTGGTGTATATATGGATGTTAGTGTGAAGAACTTAACATTAATTCCTTCTGAAATTCAGCAGTGATTATTTTCCTACCTGGATGCTATAGGTTGGGTTGGGAACATCTCCAAAGACCCATGTGTGCAACATACACACGCAACAATGTTGGGAGGTGGGAGAACCTTTAAGAGTTAGGACCCAGTGGAGGAAGTGGAGAGGTGCCATTGGAGGAGACAGCAGGGTCCAGTTCCTCCTGCCTCTGTGTCCTCATCACCTGTAGGCAAGCCTGCTGGGCACTTTCTTGATTGATGAGCAATGTGAATGGCTCTGCCCACTGTGGGAGGTGCCATCCCTGGGTTAGGTGGTCCTGGAGTATATAAGAAACCAAAATGAGTAAGCTAAGAGGGAGCAAGCCAGTGAGCAGCACTCCTCCAAGACCTCTGCTTTAGTTCCGGTCTCCAGGTTCCTGCCTGCCTTGAGTTCCTGCCTGCCCTGACTTCCTGCCATAATGGACTGTAATCTGAGAAGTGAAATAAATTTCCCCCATGCCCCAAGTTTGTTTTTGGTCACTGTTTTATCATAGCAACGGAAACCTAGCTAAGACAGAAATTGGAACCAGGAACCAGATTGTTTGGCAAGAATTGTGGAAGTGTTTAGACCTTTGGACTGGAAAGGCCATTGAGTACTTGAAGCTTAAGGGCTGTTCTGTGGAAGCTGGGGAGATAGTTACATGCCAAAAGAAAATCAAGATTGGCAGAGGGAGGCAGACTGTTGAAGCTCATATTAGAGACTTGGACTTTTAGAAAGACATTTAAGAAAAAGAGAGAGAGAGAACTCGACTTTTATAAAGTGTTGAAATTTTTTTTTTTTTTTTTTTGGTTTTTCGAGACAGGGTTTCTCTGTGTAGCTTTGCGCCTTTCCTGGGACTCACTTGGTAGTCCAGGCTGGCCTCGAACTCAGAGATCCGCCTGGCTCTGCCTCCCGAGTGCTGGGATTAAAGGCGTGCGCCACCACCGCCCGGCAAGTGTTGAAATTTTTAAAGACTGGCACTTATAAAGTTACATTGTTTTATATTGTGATATTAATACTGACATGACATTTTGGGTACAAATGAGAAAGGAAAGATTATAGTGACTAGTGATGTGGTTGTGTGTCAATTGAAAAGGGCTCGGTTGTACTGGCTGGCTTTTTGTCAACTTGATACAAGCTAGAGTTTTCTGAGGAGAACCTTAAAAATGTCCCATCAGATTAGCCTGTGAGGCATTTTCTTGATTGAATTGATGTGAAAGCGCCCAGCCCATTGTGGGTGGGTCGTCCCTGGGCAGGTGGTCCATAAGAAAGCAACTGAGCCAGCCAGTGAGCAGCACCCCTCCCCAGGCTCTGCTTCAGTCCTACCCCGGGTTCCTGCCTGAGTTCCTGCCTTGACTTCCCTCCACGAAGGACTGTAAATGTGCGAGGTGAAATAGACCTTTTCCTCCTGAGACTGTTTTCTGTTGGTGTTTGAACCCAGCAGCGCGAACCCGAGACTCCACCATTCTGTGCTGCCTCACTGTGCTCTCAGAAGCAGCTGAACTAACGTCAGATGAAACCATCCACTGTCAGCCCTGCCTCCTTAGACATTATCCTGGTTATCTTGTCACAGTGATGCAAAGCCGGGTTTCCTTATGCTTTCATTCGCCACTCACTGTCCTTAGCACATCCTTACATGTGGGATTGCCTGGGTGTATATATAAAAATTGCCTCTTAATAATGAAAGGTTCCTTTATTTTGACACTAGAAGCTCCTGTAGCACAAGCTGGCCTTGAACTCCTAACCCTCCAGCCTCCAACCGTAAAGTGCTCGGATTATGGGGATACGCCACTGCACCTGGCTGAAGACTTTAAAGCCCCTAACATTTTGCACGTAGGCTGGGCTTCTTTCAGCCCGCATCATGCTTCTCCGAAGGCTTTTCCAGACATTGCTACTGACCACTATTTTCTGACCTCACGTGCCTCACCCATAAACTTGTCATTCTTGAGTCTCGTCTCCATTTGTTCAAGGTGTTTGCTGCTGTTTTATACTCAGCTTCCTTACTGCACCTTAGATACTTGCTCCTAGCCTTTCATGTACACAGACCCATTTGGAGAAACTCTCCACCCCGTGTATTCCTGTTAGATACCTGTTTAGTATTATGTTGGATGTAGGGTTTCCTCTAAGGTCACTCTAGATTTCCCTCAGTACAAATTTGTTTACTTGTTTTACATGTATGAGTGTTCTGCCTGCATGTATGTAAGTGTACCATAAGCATGCAGTGCCTGCAGAGGCCAGATGGGGACATCAGATCCCTTGTATCTGGAGTTAGACTGTACGCACAACCTGGGCCCTCTGTAAAAGCATCAAGCACTCTTAACTGCTGAGTCACCTCTCCAGTTCCTGTACATAAAGTAGGGTATTGTGGTACATGCCTTTTAATCTCAGCACTCAGGAGGCAGAGGCAGACAGATCTCTGTGAGTTTGAGGCCAGCCTGGTGTACAGAGCAAGATCCAGGACAGTCAGGACTACATAAAGACCCTGTCCCAAAAAAAAAAAGAAAGAAAGAAGGAAGGAAGGAGGGAAAGAAAGAAAGAAAGAAAAAGAAAGAAAGAGAAAGAAAAGAAAAGAAAGATGCCAATGCCACTTGACTTGTCTATCTAGAAGTTCTCAGTTCTTGTCCCGGAGAGCTCCCAGGTGTCAGTGCATTAAATCTTTGAGTGCACATGTGAGCACCTTAAAAAGTGCTCAAAAGGTGGCTAAAAAGTGCCTGCAGTTTAGTATGCTGTGCCTCAGTCTGCCCACCGACTCTCGGCTGTGCTAGAGGACTGCTAAACTGATTCCAGCATTTCATTACATGGTTAACAAGGAGTAAGTTTATTCAAGAGAGAAATCAAACAGGCTTTTGATAGGACACCTTACCCCACCGTACTATAGCGACATACACAAAGCCTACAGACATGTACACATAAGAAGCCAGACGTGCTGGATGCTGTTGTGAACGCTGTTTAAGCTGCAGATAAACTCTTCTGAGGAGCACACTTGCCTGCCGTTGGCTCCAGAGGGGAGGCAGGCTCGAACAGGTGAAAGAGAAGTGGACTTGTTGAGCCTCTGACCCGAGCACCAGTACTGTGATGAGGACAGAGTGAGGAGGATGTGTCCAAGTCTGGCAGTTTTGCTCAAAAGGACAATGTGCTGTTTGAGCAGCAGAGTCTGGACCAGTAGATCACAGCAGTTGTCCCCGAACTGCCTGCGGAGGTCTGGGTCTCTGCACTAACACTACAGAGCCCTTGGGATCTCTCCCTCGCTCACTGGAAGTGGCTGCTAGCTTCCCACATCTCTGCTTCCAGAAGGGAGGTCCCCGGTGTCTTCAGATCCAAAGCAGTCCCCCTGCTGGTAGCCCTGGAGAGACCAGGCTGAAAGGTCTAGGTTTAGCCAAAATTCTAGAGTATGGCTTCTGCATTATAGGTAGGTGACAAAGTAAGAGTTAATAAATTAGGCCATAATACTGTCCCAATAGCAGCTGTAAGGAGGGCATTAAACTATCTGTGACACTTGAGGGCAGCCCACAGGAGAATTAAAATAACCCAAGTTCTGCTTGTGAGCTGACATCAACATGAAAATTTGCAAATTTATTCACTTTGAACATTAACTGAAAATAGTGTTTTGTTTATTCTTGCTAAACTCCTTGAACATGTCTCAGTATACAGGACTTTCCCACTCTGCCATTCAGCAGTAAACGGTCCTGGAAAACGTTAAGGCAGTGGATCCTCCAATGCTGAAAGTCTTGTGATGAACAAACATGGGCTTTTATGCTTCCCACTAAGGCAATCTGTGTGTCCAGATCAGAGGTCTTGTCTCTGTCCCTGGAGATAAGTTACGATGTGGTCTTGATCTTTAAAACGTCTACACCCGGAAGCTGCTACAGGGGCAGCCTGTTTAAGGAGTTACGAGAAATACAAGGCAAGAAATGAGAACAAACTATTGGCTTCAACCTCAAATGTCTTTGAAAAGATAATTTCCCTGTCATGGCCTTCGGGCCACTTCCCACTTGGCTCCTCCGTCAGCTCTGTGATTTTATTTTTTCTTCAGTAAGGTGGCCAGAAATCCCCTGCAAACACTCCTCCTGCAGTCTTGGTTCAGGTTCATAGGACCATGGCTTCCCACACTTGTGTTAACTTCTCTGTGTTCACCGTGTTGAGGATGATGTGGTTTTGATCGTACTGCGCACCCCCTGAATGAAAGAAAAAAAAGTAAGAACTGTGCGGGGTGGGGGGTGGGGGGCAGGAAGGGGAGGTGTGTGTCGAGACAGGGGAAGAGCAAAAGAGAACTGGAATAAAAGCGCTGTAGCTCTGGGACCCAGGGGCAAGGTCAACTTGCTGGGCCGTGTGGCTAAACTCCTTCTGGGGACCAGCAACTCCACACAGCCCATCTTGCCTTCTGGCTCTCCCTTTTCTACCCAGCTCTCATAGGCCACTCTAGCTCCTATTACCCCATCTGAAATGGGGGGCCTCAGGGAAAAGTCTAGAGAAAGGAAAAAGCAAAGATGTCGTAAGATGGCACTGGAGAGAACAGAGATGTGAGATCCTAGTGAGCAGGCAGATAGATGTGAGATCCTCATGAGCAGGCAGGCACACCCAGCGGCAATGCAAAGAAAGGCTGTGGGGAGGCAGGCAGAGGCAATGAGTTCTGCACGCATAATAAAAATCAGCCGTCACTAGGTTCAAGGTCTGAATGACACCGGAAGCATGCTCAGGACACGGAAGACCCCCCCCCCCCCCACTGCTGCGAACTTGGATGTACGAAGTAATGCCGAGTATCACTGCATGAGTCCTGTACTTCCCTCTCACCAGGATATTTGGAGGGGCCTTTCCGAGGGTGCTTATTGAAAACGTGAGGTACTTTTAGTGTTAGAAGCAGCCAGTGCCCCCTTTCAAACAGCCGGGACTATCTGATTTTCCCCAGTGTGGAATCAGCATCCTTTCTGGTGCCTTATCTGCTTCAGCAGAAGCCTCTTCACCAAAGACCCCGTGGAAATGAAAATCTGCATTTGGATGCAGGGTGCAGCTGGTACTGAAATCATGTTTCATCCTCAGACCAAAGAAACGACATTCTTCTCTCCTTTAAATCATTTGACATCAAAAGGGTCTGAAAGAGTAGCTGGGGAAGGAACTCATCGCTTCATTCTTTAAGGAACTAGCTGGCTATCACTTGGCACCCATAGTGCTCCGGAGCTAGGTGGGGTGCAGAGCACAGGGAAAGGAAAGACTTTCAAGCCTCCCATTTAGGCCCAGCAAATCCTGCACTCTCCATCAAGACAGCACAGTTGTTGGCTGGAGAGATGGCTCAGCAGTTAAGAGCACTTCTTGTTACTGCAGAGGACCTGGGTTCGATTCCTAGCACCATCATGGCGGCTCAAAAACCACCCACAGCTCCAGTTCCAGGGAATCCAATGACTTCTGACCTCGGAGGACACCAGGCACTCCCAAGGTACACAGGCATACATGATACTCATACACATTAATAAATCTAAAAAGAAGACTT